ACGAAGAAAGTACTCGTGAGGGGAGACTAGGAACAGACCAGAGGGTGGGCGGGGATGCCAGAAGTATGGAGGCCAGGTATATGGCTTCTTCATCAAACACCTTCTAGGCCTCCTCCTTGGAAGACCCTGGTTTCTTACAGAGCCAAACCGATGACTACCACATGGCCTAAAAGGCTCTACACTCTGGTTCAAACCTGGGACGATATATTCCAAGGACTGAAACCATGTGCACAAACAACCAACCAAAGCAACCAGAATGAAAATCAAACTTCACCCACCGGACCCCTGACATGGTTTACCCTCAAATGTACAAACAGCAGTGCCCTGGGAGACTTGCTGCCTGCTTGGCGCATGGGCCAAACTCGGCCTGGGTTTCTGCCAGGGACTGTCATGGTACCAGTGGGCATGGGCACTTTCTCTTAGGCAACAGCCTTACTTACTACGGTGGCCCTGTGACATGGGTCACACTGTATGAGCATGGGTATGGGTGTCCCATTACCATTGTTGCTTCTAGGGTCTGTTTTCTAGTCTCCCTTAAACAGTACTTCTCTTCCTCTTACAGGAAGTGGTTCATTTCCTCCCTTAGGCCTGCACCTTCACGCCAGGCTTCTCTATCACTATGCAGGCAGGACACAGCAGTGAGGATTAACTGCCATCACTGAGGTGGGTACAGCAAGGAGCTAGGGCTTCCTGGTCTAGGACAGGGATTGACAGGGTGTGGGGGTCCTAGCTCCTGGTCTCCCCTGAACCTCTTTCTTGAGCTTACCCCAGAACCCCACAAGCTTTGCAGCGCTGCAGCATGCTATCCCAGAAGCACGTGGCAGGCTACTGAAATACCCAATGGATGCTACTGGTCCTCGAGCCTGGATCCTGCAAGTGCCATGTGACTACTCCAGCCTAGCAGAGTTAGAGGTTTCTAAGTGCCTGGACCCCATAAGACAACAAGGCAGTCCCCAAAGTGGCTGCTCCCCTCCCCAACCCAATTTCCAGACCTCCTTCCAGAGGCTGTCCACAGCAGGGCTCCCTGTCCTCTGGCCAGAACTCTGGTATCAGAGGCTACACCTTGAATTTCCCTGGGGCCGTTGGCAGCCTCCCAGGGGACCTCAGCCCCCTGCGTGATCTCCTCCCACAATGATTTTGACTCCTGAAAGCAGGGGCCACTGCCTGGGCATGGGCCAGGTTGCCACTGTCCTGATGATGGTCCTCACTAAGGAAGATGCCTTTTGGGCACTGGCCCAGCTGCCAACCCATTAAGGAGCCACATACTGTCCAAGTGGTCAGGTTCTCATGACACCAAACAGCCTGGCTGGGTGACAGCCATACTGATGAGTGATGGCGACTTACAGCCACAGCACCTTCCCTTCCCTCCTTCTGAACCACTGCACTGTCTGCTGTAGTCAAGGGACCCCACCATGTCCCTTGTCAGCCAAGAACCCTCTAGGCATAAGCAAACCAGGTGACATGTTCCAGCTGGTTATTCTGCAGCTCTCACCATCTATCGCCAAAATCCAGGGGACAGCATCAACCTATCCATGTCCTCTCCTGATCCTGAGCCCAAGAGGCAGCCACCAACCTCCATCCCTGTCCCTGTCCCCTGCTAGCTTCATGGGCCCAATAGGCTGCTCGTACCCTATCCACCACAGTCTTTCCTCTGCCTCAAAGGCTACCCTGCCCTTCAGGAACCAGGACACAGTAAGGCAACAAGTCTAGCTGGAACTTGTTTGGGTGTTCCTGCTTCCTTCTCTGGGGCTGCAAATGCCTAATGGAGACTCGGAGTGGGATGAGGGGGAAACCTCAGCTTCCCGGGACACCTGCTACTGTCCTCAAGCTATGGCTCCACCCCTCTGGAATAAGTTCTACTTGTAGGTTATAGGCTCTCAGGATGCTACAAATGGTTCCAGCCACTGCCTTTCAGCTCCCAGCTTAGGAGAATGAAGTCAAAAAGTATAAGGGTAATGGAAGGGACCTGCCTCATCCCCAGAGGCACTGGGTGGGACCTGGAATAGAGAGGTTTGGGGACCATCATGAGCAGGAGACCCTGAGTAAAGCAGGACTGTGAGGAGATACCAACTGTCCAGGGCTTCTGCAGTGTTATGGCAATGAAGTATAGACAGGGAGGGACCTTCCTTGATCCACAGTGCTGGTTTCCCAGCCCAGGGGTCCCAGGAGCTCTCCCACCTTCCAAGAAGGCCAGGAGAGCCCATATCCAACAGATGAGCTAGGCCCTAGACCTCCTGCCCTCCTGCCACACAACCCACAGCACAGGTCAGAGTCTGAGCAAGTGCCACTGGCAGAGCAGGCCAGGCCAGGAGAACCAGGGAAACTCCGAGTCTTGGCAAGCCCCTGATCCCAGGGTCACACCTGCTAAGTCCAGCCCTGAGCAGTTACAAGCCTGATAGCAGCCTCATGGAATCACCTCTACAGAGAACCCAGAGGTTGTGTGCAGGCCATGGGTCCCACCCCAAAGTTCTGGGATGTCTATATCCTGGAGGATAAAGTTGTGGTCATGACCATGGCAAAAAAACAGCCCTCAAGGTACATGGAAGTCACTTCTCAGATATCCAATACAGACCGTGGCTAGCTGTGGGCCATCCTCAAACCAACCATTTGTCTACCTCTCCAGCCTAGAGTGAGCCAGCCACAAAGGGTGGGTCAGGCCAGCTGTGGTCAACTAGGCAGGCGGCAAGGTATTGTCCCAAGCACTAAGCCCATCCCCCATACCACAGATAAGAGTTGAGGTTGCTTTCCTGGCAGGATCTCTCTTTGGCTATGGTCTTATGTATACAAGACCACAGGCCAGTGGTGATGGCACACGCCTTTAATCCCAGCACTCAGGAGGCAGAGCCAGGAGGATATGCGTGAGTTTGAGGCCAGCCTGGTCTACAGAGCGAGATCCATGACAGGAACCAAAACTACACAGAGAAAACCTGTCTCGAAAAACCAAAAAAAAAAAAAAAAAAAAAACCCAAAAACCAGAGTTAGAAACAGAAGGGTACAGTATCCTTAGCAAGACGGACCTAGGAACAGGCAGGTCTTGGGCAACAACCTTTCCCAGGGCCCAGCAGAGTCGAACTCCATACCTTTGAAAATCTCCCAAAGCCTCTCTGTAGGACATGCTGCTTCAGGCTGAACTATACAATGCTGAAGTACCTCCAGGCCTCCATTGTGGTGTCTTGAAGGACAGAATGTGACATTCTTCCCTTATTAGCTCTAGTTTGAGGTCCATTTCCGGGGCAGGCATGTCGAGGCCCCACGAGCTCTGCCTCCATGTTTCCCACCCTACTGCCTCCAGCAGGAACACGAAGCTCCTGTCCACCCTTACAATCACAGCCCAGAATGTGCTGAGCCTACTAAAAACCCCCAAACAGGGCCAAAGACAACCATTAGCATATCAGGCCCTGTCTCCAACCACCTTCATGACCAACATGGCTCCCAAGGAGCCACTGAAGCCTCAGATGATACCTCAGGAGCCTCAAATACAGTGGACAGGAAAGCTGAACTTTTGGCTGCTGTGGAAGAGGGCAGGAGTGGTGTCTTCAACCACTCAGCAGCAGGCCCTACATCATGCCTAGAGGAGCCTCCTTATATTGCAAGTATCCTCCGAAAGAGAGAGTTCACTCAATTCCACTTCAGTCTTGAGAGGGTAAAGCATAGCCACCAAGGGCCCCAGCAGCCAGGATGAGGACCAGGATAAGGAGATGGACACTCCTGTAGTCATGACCTGTGCTAGAATGAGGCCCTGGGCATGGCACGCCCTTTGGGAGCAGTGAGCAGCTACCTGGCCGGCATGTGCCTCTCAAGATGGTACTGGTGGCCGGGCGGTGGTGGCGCACGCCTTTAATCCCAGCACTCGGGAGGCAGAGCCAGGCGGATCTCTGTGAGTTCGAGGCCAGCCTGGGCTACCAAGTGAGTTCCAGGAAAGGCGCAAAGCTACACAGAGAAACCCTGTCTCGAAAAACCAAAAAAAAAAAAAAAAAAAAAAAAAAAAAAAAAAAAAAAAGATGGTACTGGTGACTTGGAGAACATCTGTACACCTCAGAGAAGTGGTAGGAACTGGTAAGGCAGCTTCTAGCTTCTCAGGGTGTTGAGATTGCCAGGCTCTAAGCACTGATGGGACAGAGGCCTGCGGCCACACAGAAAACATTGATGACCTATTTCCAGAGTTCTAGAATCCCCATCACTGGTCAGAGGGCTGAAGGATGCTGGGGCAGGGCAGGTCTTATACTCTGCAATCCTTGGGGCTCTATTTCATGGATCCCAGAATTCAGGAAATGTGTTTCCTGCTGGAGACAAGGGATACCCCGTGCTCTTCAGCCCCCTCCTCCATTACTTAAGGACAATAGGTCACTCTTTGTATCACCTGACTGTTCTTTTGTTGCCTATAGCTTTCTGCAGGAAACACAAGCCAGCTGGGGCAGGCAGAGGGCAGGGCTACACAGTCCAGGAGCCCAGGCTAGTCTCCCCAGCCTCTTCTCAGGAACAGGAACAAGGCAGATGATGAATCCCAGGTTCCCAGTATCTTCTGGGAGGCCACAAGCACTACACCTCTCACTCCCAGCCAGAGACAAGTCAAGACCATCAAATAATTTACTGTGATTCAACCTGTGCCCCAGAGGCACCCAGAGGGAACGGAGAGGGGTTGAGGACTGGGGTGCCAGTGGCAACAGGGACAGTTCATGACAGTCTGTTCAAATTGTCCATGCGAAGGTCTTGGTCACCTCTGTCCACCATCCCTGGACTGGACCGGCTCCAGCATCACTTCCTTCCTTCCTTCCCTGCTCTTTCCTTCCTTCCGTCTGCACCTCCTCCCTGCATCCGGCACCTCCACGTCCTGAGCCTGTGCCGGGACGGGCACAAAGGACACCACTGACGGTAGGCAGGGGGACTGGCAGAATGGGGGTGGGTGGGAGCAGGGACATCAGTGTGGATATGAAGTTCATTTGGCTAGCTGGGGCCACGGCCCCAGAAGTCTGCTGGTCCCTGCCTCACCTGGCGTCAGGACAGCACACACTTGCAGCTCATGCAGCCGGGGCCGCTCTCATCGGGCGGGTTCAGCTTCCGCAGTTTGTGCTGCCGAATCTCACGGACGAGTGTGTAGAAGGCATCCTCTACACCCTGGGAAGAAAGGGAGTGGATCAGAGGGGGCTCTGAGGACGAAAGGGGTGCTGTCTGGGTAAGAGACTCCCTGCCTGGATCAGGTAACACCCCAACCCTGGAAAATAACCCTTCCTCGGCCGCACAACCAGCACAGACAGGGAGCTGGGCTCTGCACAACTAAAAGGCACAGGGCCACTCTCCTTAAGCAGGCTCACTCCAGAATGTCCTTGAAAATCAGAGTCACTCAACTCGGGGCTCTCCCAGACTCCCAGGATGGCTCCGGCATGAATGCCCTGAGCACACTTAAGGGCTCAAAACTCACAGGTAGCCATAGGACACTATGGGGACAGGAAGGACTAGGCCCCTGGGTCACCGCTCCGGCCTGGCTCAGGGCAGCTCTCTCCACGGACCCCCTCCTACCCTGGCGCTGTGTCAACCGAGAACTGCAGGGCATAAGCCCAGACCCTGACCCTTGCCTCCCTCACAGCCCTGCCGTCTGGGAGACTTACAGCATGGGGGCCGCTGGGTCACATGGGTCCCGGGGGGTCCCAGAGGGTCCCGGAGCTGGAGCCAGAGCCAGAGCGGCTGCCCTGTGTTGAGGGAGAGGGGCGATGAGCTCTGCTCCCTGGCTGGGGTGGGGTGGGGTGAATCCCTGACTCGCTGTGGAATGGGGAGCAAGCTCACCTGCCGGGTCTTGGCTGATGTTTCAATGTAGGGGATGCCATAGCTGCGGGCAAGGTCCTGGGCCTGCCGCGACTCAACAGTACGAGCGGCCAGGTCACACTTGTTCCCCACCAGCACCATTGGCACATCGTCTGAGTCCTTCACCCGCTTGATCTGCTCCCTAGAGGGAGATGGAGGGTATGTAAGCCAACTAGCAGGCTACAGGCATGGCTGTATCCAGGACATTTGGGAGAAGACATAAAGTCTCAGTGTGCACACAGAACCTTGCTCACCTGTGCCCTGGGCTCATGGGCTAGCCATAGATGGCTCACCTGTACTGATGGATGTCTTCAAAGGACTTGGTGTTGTTGATGGCAAACACACAGAGGAAACCCTCCCCTGTGCGCATGTACTGGTCCCGCATGGCACTATACTCCTCTTGACCTGCTGTGTCTAAGATGTCCAGCAGACATGTCTCCCCATCAATGACCACCTGTTTCCGATAGGAGTCCTGCAGAAGAACATAGCTTAGGGGTCCCACCTCTCCTCAGACAGAAGTCCACAGAGCCAGCCTACCCTTGCACCTCTCATGCCCTGATGGATCAGGTGGGAGCCAGACCCACACCACCTTCAAGACTCGGCTGTGTGGGCCTGTCCTGACTCTTACCCATGACCACTGCCAGAGCCCAGGCAGGTAGCTAGAGCTCACCTCTATGGTGGGGTCATACTCGTCCACAAAATGGTTCTGGATCAGCTGGATGGTCAGGGCACTCTTTCCCACGCCTCCAGCACCCACCACCACAAGCTTGTATTCTGTCATCGCTTCTATAGGGACTGTCACTCCAGGAGCTCCTGCCCCACCTGCCAATGAGAACCACACTTAGCCAGGTCCGGGTCACTTGAGACTGATAATAGGTGCCTGACCCAAAGGCCCCCTCCAGCATTGAGGAGGCAGGCCAGCCACGACAGTGGCCCAGTCACTCACCTGTGGCACCTCCAGCTGGGACAGGGAGGCCCCCCCCCACCTCCTCCAGCAGCACTTAATGGCTGTGTGAGGAAGCAGGGAGAGGCCCCCAAGGCAGGGCTGACAGCTGAGAGCTTCTCCCAACCACGCACCCAAATTAGAAGTCGCTAGGTAGGCAGAAAGCCTCAACTGGAGGCGCCTGAGGGCTGAGGCCACCCCCCAAAAACAGGTCCTGCCACGGCGGCCTCAGCGTGCCCAGGCAGGCCAGTGCCAGCCTACAACCGGCTCCGGCCCGCCGGCATGTGGGTGCAACCGACAAGTATTTACTGAGCGCCTACTGCATGCCAGGCGCGGTCCTGGCAGCGGGGGAAGGGTAGCTGGAGAGGGACCCTGCCCTCCACTGAGAGAGACCTTCCACAAGGGGCCAGGGAGCCTTCAGCAAGCAGTGGGAAAAAGCGGCTGAGGGTGTGGGAAGCAGGTGACTGCGGGAAAGACTCACAAGGGGCACGAGGGGTGGCTGGGGAGCAGAAGGCCCTGATTGGGGCCCGACGTGGGTGTCCTTGTAGCCCCGAGGCCGGAGCGTGATGGCCGCGGGGTGCAGAGTCTCCGGAGGCCCGGGCGGCGCCTCGCCGGGAGGGCGGCCACAGGCGGGGCGGGCCCGGTCGGGCCGCAGAGGCGGGCAGCCGGGCGCTTAGGCACGCTGCCGGGCTAAGAGGAGCAAGGAAGCACCGATCACCTGCGCCCCGCGCCCCACCCCGCGCCCGCACTCACCGCTTGCTGGAGCGACTGCCCCCGGGGCCGGGGCCGGGGCAGGGCGGGGGCGCGGACCGGCGCCGGCTGGGCCCGCGCATGGGCTCCGTCCGCGGCGGGTGCGGCTCAGGCTGCGGGCGCCGGGCGCGGACGGCGGGGACTCGGCCGGGCCCGCGCTCGCCCCGCCCCGCTCCGCCCCGCGCCCGTCCGTCAACTCTAGACGGCCGGTGATTGGTCGAGCTCCGGCCCATCACGACCTGTTGTGGTTGGCTGAACAACCCATCCGTCAGGAGCCGCAGCTGGGCGGGGCTTCCTGGAGTGGCAGGGAGGGAAGTGTGGCGACCTGGGTACTGCACTCAATGAGCGACGCCTAGTTCCGAGGTGCGGAAGAGAATGTGAGGGTGACGGTGCTTAAGAGGCCGAGATTCCTCCGCAGAGAAACTGGCGTACGCTCGGGTTGGGTCGCAGGGCCTGCCACAGAGCCCCCACCCTGCAGCCGCACCAGAGGCCCTAAGGCCCAGGGAGCAGAAAGGTCTTTCCGACGGAGACCTGGCGTCAGGGACAATCAGCACCGCGGACGCGGGATACCAGAGGAAGGCAGAGTCCGCCGGAACCCCAAGCTGCCTGTTCCCGTAGGCTGAGGTGGAGCGAAGGTCCCATCTCCGGACAGCGTCGGCCCATCACACTGTGCTCCTTGTACTTTGGAGAAGACCCCCCTGCCTCCCCCAAACTTGAGGTCCCAACCCTGCAGCAGCTCATACTGCACCCCATTTGAAGAACGACCCCAGAAGTCAGAAAAGTTGGTATTAGGGCGAAATGAAGTGTTCCACCCACTCAAGCAAGTAGGGTACATCTGTGTCAGACGCAAATAACATGTTTTCAACACTTTTTGAAATTTCAAAGAAACGAGTAAGCTCGTCCTTCTCAGAAAACCGACAGGGCTTTTACTCAGGTGATGCAGGCCTCGGGGCGTGCGCTCACGTGTCGCCCGGGGTCCGAGCTCGGCTCGGTCGATGCGGCCAACAGGCAGATAACCCAGAGCCTGCCATAAGCCCCTTACGGGGCAGCACTCGGAACCACTGTGGGTGTCTTCTCTGCGTTCAGAGGTCCCGCTTGCCTCCCTTACTCTGGGGAGCCCTCCCACCTCATCTGCCGCGTGTCCCGGCAACCGTTGCTAGGGGGCGGGGCTCATCTTGCCACCGCCCTGGATGCCCGGGGCTCACGAATATTTGGATATTCAAATGAGGCCCCGCCCTCGTTGCCATGGCGCCCGGGCCGCAACCCCTCTGCGGTGGAAAAAATAAAAAAGTCCTCACTTAAGAGAGCGACCTCCACGGTGGAGGGGCCCAGGGCTGCGCCCCAGATCTTGGGCACCCTGGCCCACCCCTCAGGTGAGAGCTGGGCACCGCCTCTCCATGTCCCTTATACTAGGGGAAACCTGGGCCAAGGAGTGGGGCCTACATCTTGTGGGGCAAGACACCCTGGACTGAGTAAGTAATAAATCATGAAGTGCAGTGGAAGGAGATAACTCTTACTAGAAAAATGTATCTGGGAAAGATTGGCAGGCAGAAAGTGCAGGACTTAGGTGTCGGCCAAACCCGAATGGAGGTGTAGAGGCACCTGAAAAAACTTCTCCAGAGGTATGGGAAGGAGTTCAGGAAAGGTGGGCCTACAGAAGATTCAGAACCACACACCCAGGATCCCCTTTAGGAGCAGAAGAAGCAGCAGGATTTGGATGAGGACCGTGTCTTAGTTTCCACTGGGTGACCCAGAGGAACCCTGACTGTCTTCCTCATTATCTGAGCCTCATCCCCCACTAAAATGGTCACAGGGGGTTCAGGACTAGGCCCCCAGCTAACAGCACTCCATTCTTGTATCTGTTTGCTTCTGAGCTGACCTTGGCCAGCTCAGCCCATGTGCTACAGAGCACAGTGACAGCCAGGAAGCTAATCTAACTCTCTCTTACAGGTGTTACATGTAGACACATGTGGCCCTCTTGCCCGGATGTTTGACCTACAGCAGGAGCCAGCTACCTGCAGGTGGGGCCTCAGTCAGAGAAGTGGGTGGTTGGAGGGAATGTCTGCTATCTTGATCCTGAACCTAGACTCAAGAGATCATTAATGAAGACGGATCCACAGCCAGGGTCTGGGGCAGTGCAGGGAACTGTCAGTAACAGCTGCCTGCTGGTCGATACAGGCATCTTGTCCAGTATCCCTAGTCTCACAGCCTTAAAAAAAATTATTCTTTATCTTATATATTTGTGCCTGTGTGTGTGTTTGTGTACCACAGAGCACAAGTGCCCTCAGAGGCCAGAAGAGGGCATCTGATCCCTTGGTTACAGGTATTTGAGCCATCCACTATGGATGCTAGGAATCAAATGCAGGTCCTCTGCAAGAGCAGCCAAGTGCTTTTTAACACTGAGCTATCTTTCCAGCCCCAACTCATAGCCTTTGTGAGGCCCAAGATGGCAAAGCCTGGAGCCAGTGCTCCTTGCATGGACACTGTGGGAAGCAAATACAGAACCAAATGAAGGAGTAGGGAGATAGCTCAGACAGTAAATTGTTTGCTTTGTAAGCATGAAGACCTGAGTTTGATCCCCAGAACTCACATATAAAATGCCAGGCATGGTAATACGATGTTGTAATTCCAGCACTGGGGAGACAAAGACAGGCAGGTGCCTGGAACTTGCTGGCCAGCCAGCTTAGCCAATTTGGTGAGCCACAGGCCAGTGAGAGACCTTATCTAAAAAAAACAAAACAAATACACACACACACACACTAACATATATACACACACAAATTATAAAATGGATAAACACATCTCTTTTTTTCCAAAATACAGAAGCAAATGGAGAGAAGTTATTAGCACAAGCAGGGAGTTTGAGTTGAAACTAGGGGAGTGGATATGTGCTGTCCAGTTATCTGGACCGCTGAGGTTGCCCAGGGTCTCTCAGGGCAGGCCAAGTCAGGCTAGGATGTGGGGAGATGTCAGAGTTGACCTAATGGCTTTGTGGGCCGTTGATGTGAAGTAGAGCCTTGTAAACTAGGAGATTTGGCCCTCCGCCTCTCCTAACAGGTTGGATGTGGATGGACCCAGCCTGGGATGGATCCCAGGGGCCTCGGCCAAGCACAGCTAGTATCCGGGTACGGGAGCTGAGCTGGCAGGGCCTAAACAACCCCTGCCCACAAAACAAGAGACTGGGCAGCCATGGGGAGATCCACAGGGAGCGGCGGATGGAGGAGCACCTTTCCCCTGCTCGGCTGGTAAGTGACTGGGGCCTGAGGCTCCGCCATGGGTCTGCATGAGGTGACATACTGGCATCCTTTCTGCTGATATCCAGGTTTCCCTCTGCTGGGTACCCTCTACCTTTCCACCATCAGGGTCCCTGCCAGCAACCCAGTGACACAAGCATCCCCAGGCATTGAGATCACTGGCACTGTTGGGCCAGGATTCTGCAACTATTGGCTGAGGCCTGTGCTCAAGCAGACATGAAGCCTCTTACTCAAGAGCTAATGTTGTAGCAAGGAGGACTAGGAGATAGCACATTGGGATGCTGGAAGGGCATGGGTGCATGGCTCCCCTCCCAAGGCTAGAGTTCCTCAGTCTACTCTCAACCTGCTTGAGGTAGGGTCTGTCCTTGGTATGCTGACTCTATTGGTAGCAGGTAAAGACCTTCCTCCAAATCCAGTGGGAGAGCCCATTGGTGTACCCTGTCCCTGAGTCCGAAGGTTTTGTAGAGTCCATCTGGGCAATCCTGAAGCCCCCAGGACTTAGAGTTTGCTACCTATGGCCACTATGAAGGAAAGAATATGGATAGATGGTATCACCCAGGACCTCCTCAGAATAAATGTTTGGCCTGCTAGGCCAGTACCTGCACATGTTCCCCAAGGTGTCCCCTGATGCCATAGCAGGTGTGGCCCAGAGTCCTGAGAGACCATGCTTGCATTTCACATACAAGAAGGTCTTGTCTAGTCCATCTGCAAGAACAGACAGACCAGTAGGGCTCCCACCCCTTGTCTTCCAGCATGAGTGTTTTTCTGTGTCCTCTGGTCCAGGTATGCTGTGGCTGGGTGCTTCTCAGCAGGGCTCTGGGCTCCAACTGCATCACTGAATCTGTTCTGAAGGTCTCATTTGGAGACTGGCACCCCAAGTGCAGGCCCTTCCCTGGCAGCACTCCTTCCCTGATAGTGAGTTACAACCTCTGCTCATGTCATGTCCACCAGCCAAACTGTTATTGCAAACCCCACCTGGATGAGGCAGGGGAACACTTGCCACCTGCTCCAGTAGGCCCCTTTACAGAGTCCTCAGCCAAAAGCATGGAGAACACTGGGAGTGACACCTGATGATTTCTGCAGCAGGCCCTGGCCCGGGTAGATGACCTCCAACTGGTGAGGGTGCTGGAGATGTGTGTGGACACCCGTAAGAACAGCCTGGGGAACTTCGGTGAGAGCCGCTGGTCACACCCATGCCCCCGTGACTGTCACAACTAGACCTTTCCCTAAGCCAGTTGTATTTCCTGTTGTAAATGAAAAGCTAGCAAACACCTTGGACGGACAGCATGTCCCTTTCCTTAAGATTGGACTGTAGAACTAGGATGTATACTCAGTTTAGAAAGAAGTTTTAGGCCAGGATATGTATTCCAGGGACCACACCCAAAGACCAGTACCAGTATGGCAAAATAGCAAAGGTACTCTGCTCCCGTACAAGGTGCTCCCAGAGCTTATTTGGAGAGGATTTGGAATTTATAGACACAGTGCACAAATGTTATATTGATCCCTCACACGTTCTTCCTCCAGAAGCCCCCTCTGCAATGGTCTCACCATTCTCTCGCTTTCATGTACACGTACACACACACACACACACCCCTAAGACACTTGTTTTTTTAATCTGAGAGACCATTACACTTGTTCACCAATGCCTCAGTGCCTACTTCCTAAGGAGAACATTATCTTAAATACTCTCAGGATAATGATCCAAGTCAGAAAAGGACACTGATAGAACACTCTTATCTGTGTCACAGACCTTGTTCAAATTTCACCAACCATCCCAACAGGAGAGATTCTTGCTGTTCAGGATAGTTGTGCATTTTGTTTGCTTTTCTCTGATTACAAGCGAGGTTAAACACTCCCAA